GTATTACCCCCTCCTATTACCCTACTCTCCTGGTTATTAAGTATTTTCTATTTGTTTCCATTTTATTTTCTTTTTGTTTCGTTTTATTTTTCATTTTACATTTTCTTTTCATAAATATCATCACACTTTTTCTCATTTATTTTATCTAATATTATTATTATTATAATTAATTATTTATTTTATTTAATTTAATTGATTAAAATATTATTTAAAAATATTATACATATATGTCTTTTGTGACAATTTTTTGGTTTTTCATTTTGTTTTGTTCATTTCACTTTTGTTTTTCATTTTGTTCATTTTTATTTGTCATTTTGTTTTGTTTTCTTTCGTATTATTTTTCATTTTACATTTATTTTTCTTTTCAATGTAATTTCTATTTTATTTGTTTGTTTTTTCTTTTTTTCTATAATATACTACAATGTAAAAAAAAAAAAAAAAAGAAAAAAAAAGAAGATACAATTCATCGTCACGTAAAAATCCATACGATAAATCATTTCAACTTCTACTTTTTTTCTTTCCCCACAAATATATTCATTCATACGCTCGAGTATTTTTCATTCATACTTGGTCACCACATTATATTCGTTAATCCCCTCTCTTTCCCATCCCCATAAAAAAAAACCAAAAGAAAAAGAAAAGTGTCAACCTTAATCATGAGAAATTATCGTGCATGCAGTGATCCTTGAACTTGCATCGAAGTTACTTATGTTAGTTTCTCAGAATGTCATCCTGACAAAGGATACGGCTTACCTAAATGTATACACACACTCACACACATATTATACACACATTCATACATGCATACACACTTTCTTTCTCTTTCCATCATTTTTATTCTCTTCTTGTTGTTTATTGTTGTTTTTTTTTTCTTTTTCTATTTTTATTGATTTATTTTTATTTTGATTTTATATATACACACACATACATACACATACATATATATATATATATATACACACATACATTCCCTCTCTTTCTTTCTGTTTCTTTCTATCATTTCTATTCTCTTGTTGATGTTGTATCTTTTTTTGTCTATTTTTATTTTTATTTTTATTTATTAATTTGTTGTTTTTTTTTTTTTAATTTTATTTATTTATAAGAAAGTCAGAGTATGACAAATATGGACGTTTAAAGATATTTATACGAGTGGATCAACGTCAGAGATTTCGTTCACGAGCCAAAGCCGGATTATCTTGTCCTTTAAGAGATATAGCTCGTATCAATTTGTCGTGTCGTAACTTTGCTACATGGGTCGTCCCATTGTACCATAATGCCCAGGTATTTATGCACAAGAGTATACGTATAATATGTATGGTACATTTTTTGTTAAAGTACAGTATCCATTTTACTTAAAGAAATCTCAAGACCAGAAGCTTCAATATAAATATACTTTTAAGAGTAATTTATTAACTTATCTGCCATCTTGGTTGACTTCTCTGTCGTTTTTAAATTTTACATTAATTTTACATTTCGTTTCACTTTTTTTTTTCTTTTTCTTTAAATGTCAAAATTTAGTTTAGCAACATTGTTAGTTTAACAAAAAGAACTTCGAAACTATTGAACTAATTTTCATGAAAATTTTTTATTTTTTATTTTGTGTGTGATTTTTTTCAATTTAGAGATTATCTAGGTCTTTGGGTGTTGTAAATTTTCAATAGATGGCGCTATATTACAATTCAATTATTTCAATACATTTTACGTTCTTTTTCTTTCTTCAAATTTACAAATGATATAATTCTAACCTTGCTTTTTATATTTTGTATTTTTTTTCGAGTATTATTATTTTACGTATTCCATTTGTATTGCGGTATTATTTTGTATGTTGTCATTTATATATTATATATTTATTATTTAGAGGTTATCTAATTGTAAGTCTTTAGGTTCTGTAATTTTTTAATAGATGCCACTGTATTACGATTCAATTATTTTAATTCAATTCACGTTAAACATTCCTTTTTTTGCAGATTTACTTATGACATAACCTAACTTTGCTTTTTTATAATTGTGATATTATTTTGGGTTTTGTTATAATTTACTAAATTAAATTAAATCAAGTATATAACCTGATATATATCTAAACCCATAATTATGATTGTGTGGTCGAACTTAAAATTAAAAAAAAAAAAAAAAAATGGGTTTATCAATTATTTAATACCACATTATTTTAAAATAAATTTAATTCAATGTAATTATTAAAAATTAAACCGTTTGATAATGTTGATAACCGTTTGATAATTTCAATATTATATAAAATTCATTTAGTGTTTAAATGTAATTCTTTACAAATATTGAAACAAGAGATATGTGACTTATGTTAGACCACATTCATATTTATGGGCACACACACATATATACATACATATATACGATCATTGGTAACCAATAATATATCGATCTTCTTTCCTATAAATAAAATATAACCTCATTCCAATCGTCGAATTATTAAAATACGTTTTATCATCTATTATGAAAAAAAAAAAAAAAAAAATCCTTCAACTATATTACGTATTCTTCCTTTCCCATAGAAAAAAAAAAAAAGAAAAAAAGAAAAAAAAACATAGAAAAATATATTAGTAATAAATTATACCAAAAGATTTGAAATATGTATTTTAATCGGATAAAATATTCTAGGTAAAAAAGAAAAAAAAAATTTATTTCGAAAGAGAGATTTTCGATAGAGTAGGTGGGGGAGGAGGAGGAGG